CATGTAGTAGATATAACCGATATTTCCATTGCTATACGCCTTAAAATTGCAATCTGAGCAACAAACACACTGACATTAAACCATCCTCGCAAGCCAGGGATCCTGAGTCAACACGTTGCCGTTGGACTCGCAAGCCAGGGATCCTGAGTCAACACGTTGCCGTTGGACCCCTGCATATTTAATTCAATATTTGTGGGCTTGCTTCTCTCATTGAGAAGCACCAATCAAATTAAAACTTTCATAAATAGTTAGATAAGGATTCAGTTGACATCTCAAATGCACGTGTTACAAGTTGTTTATCATAGAATGGCTTAATGTGATTGGTTGAGAGATAAGAAAATCAATCAAGATTTGTAATTTTTCCGAAAGATGTCGCTACAGTCAGCCCACAAATATTGAATGAAATATGCCAGGGGTCCAACGGCAACGTGTTGACTCAGGACCCCTGGCTTGCGGGGATGACATTAAACAGGCTGATGGATTGGTTACGTCATACCTATTATGACCCGCCAAATTTAACGAACATACAGTCATGAAAAGGAAATTCAAAGTTTTCATTGAAGTCAGACATATTACAAAAAAAAAAAAAAAAAAAAAAAAAAAACATACATGAATAGAAAAAACATATTTCCTCTTTTGAACAACAACAATCATGACAATGAGTGCTACATATGTAAACTCCTCAATTATTTTTTCTCAATAGTAAGTGCTTTTACATGCAGAAGATATTTTAATATTCCAAGTTATACACAAGCACTCTGTTCAGATATCCACAGAAAATGTAATTTTCTGAATCCAAACACAGCCCCTGACAATTTAAGTTCCCTGAAAGCGCAAGTGTAATTATGTAAGCGAGGAAACGTCGTTTTCTATCCAGTAAATGAACACGGCGTTCAGCACCATCCATAACTAAAATGTTACCGTTTTTGTCACATGAAACTCCCCTTGGACAAAATAAGGACTGTGAAGTCCCAATATAAGTAAATCGCCTTTTCCCATTTTTCTTAACCACTACAAAAGCTCCTGCAACTGGCAAACTCCAGTCAGAAACACATATGTCACCATTATCTTTTTCCATAATATATCGAGGATCATGAAAGAGGGGTTGCTTTTTACTGTCTAACTGGATTTTCCGAATTTCCTGTCCCTTCATAGTGTAACGGGAAATCCTAGCTTCCTCGATCAATTTTTTACCTATGAGAAAAATCTTCATTTATTCGAGAGTAATATATACAACATGGCGTCTAGTCATTTGTGTTGAAAAGTATGCTCCTTCCCAGTTCAAGCTCTTCTACTGATTTACTTTTCACATATATAAATACTAGGATATTGTTTTCTCTCACTGTGTGGATTCCGTATTCTCCATTAGTTTTTATCTGCTTCAATTCATTTCCGTCATTGTCGATAAGGAATATTTTGCCAAACTGATTGCTGACCCAAAATGATCCAGAGGAGAGACAAGAAATATGGCGACTTCTGCAAGCATTCATCACAGACAAATCTTTTTTTGTTGTACAATTTGTATTCATCTGTCTTTCTTTGGCCGTGGATCTCTCCAGGTTCTTCAACTATATGGTCTGAATTTCCTTTGCATCGAAAACAAATACCACCAAGACTATTTCTAACATATAGAAAAGTTTCTTGAAAGTCATCACCAGACACTTCTATTTCAACATCTGGATTAAGTTTAAGACAAAGTTTACATACAAATCTGTGACATATATCACAAGAATGTGCAGAATCCCTGAGGCAATAGGCGCATTTAGTGGGACACTGAGCTTCCAATGGAGAAGTGGCCATATCGGCAGAAAAAAAATCTTGGAATAGTCCATATTTTTCAGGAACACACTCTTTAAAATATTCGAGTTTAAACATGTAAAGGTATACATGACTGAATGATACACAGGTCGTTTTATTACCTGGTATGTTTGTTTTGGAATAGATTGAAAGATGGTACACGACACTAAAATAAAATTTGTAGGTGCTCACATCTCAAAAATCAAACAATGGAATAGATTCTGTAATTCTTTTTATAGGCAAACTTGTATCCAATCATGTTTATATAACTACACCAATGTTAGTTGATAACCATCACAATTTCTATTCAGTAATATGTCACATCATATTATGCTGGCTTGGGGTATGGTTCGGAAAAGGAGGAATAAATTGAAGTATATACAGTAGTTCTGATTAAAATTGTTATGACAAACAAGGAAACAGTTATGCCACCAAATTAAACTTTGATAACATAGGTACACCTTACTTTTTTCTGAAATAAATACAAAAATAAGGAATCTTTATTTTACTTGATTGTGCACAGGGTATGGTCCTACCGACCAAAAATTCAGGGTTTCATCAGAAAATATACGTATTATTTCTAAATAAAAGTATTAAATAATCATGCTTTTGAGTCACTATGTTTTATACCGTCATTTGGAAAATTTCAAGGCATTTGCCTAATTTTCGGCAGTTTCCAGAGCATTTGAAATGGGAATGTGGTTATCGCTAAAAACGAAAACTAGCGACATTTGATGACGTTACGGTGCACAACAGAGCAGTTTAGTTTTCGGTTAATCTAGGATGCTTTTACAGACTATAATAACAGAAGGATGAAAATACGTATATAAAAATATCACCATATCTTACATATTCAGGTGGAATGGGCGTTTTTAAGCGTAAGTTTTTTCATCAAGTCTCCGGGTAGAACAAAACATACGGACGAATATCTGCTTGCTAGCAATTTAGCAAAGGGAGCTATCACTGCAAACAACAGAAAAAAAGATAGCCTATTTCGTGAGAGTATTGTCCATAGCTTACTAATACAAATCTTCAAAAGGTTCTATTTGCTAATTTGGTTCCTGGCCTGATTATGGGTAAAATACAGGGGAATTCGATTGTGTAATTCCGAATTTAAGTGGGGTTTATTCAACATTTTTTGCAAACAACATGTCGTTGGTTTAGCTATATCGCTGCCAACGAAAATGTTTTAATTGCCGAAAAACAGTTATGTCGTAGGTACATGATGTGCTTTCGTTTTTGTTTAAAATTGAAATGAAGAGTAAAATTTTACTCTAGGCTATACATCTTTTCAAAAAATCACTGCATTCCGTTTACCTTTTATTGAAACATCATGTGTACAGACTTTTCGAGCAAGAAATATTGTACGTATATAAAACATTGTTTTTAAGTAACAACCACTACCATTTTCCAAAACCCTGATTTTGCGCGTACCTTTATGCGAATGAAATTCCAGTTTACTAAATCGAAAGCGAAAATGCACATTATCTGGATCATACTTCCTAATGTATGGTACAGGTAATCGGAACTTTAAGCACTTTAGTCTCGTGCGTTTAAAAAGTCATTGATTGACTGATTGATTGTATGTTGTTTTACGTCCCATTAGAGAATTTTTCACTCATATAGAGACGTCACCATATACCGATGAAGGGCTTCAAATTTTTTTCTTTACTCGGCACTCAGGACCATTGAGAAGTGAGGGATCTTTATCGTGCCAACGCCTGCCGTGACACGGGGCCTCGGTTTTTAAGGTCTCGTCCGAAGGACCCGCATCTTTCACTTCAAAGTGAAGGAACAGTTGGTACCCATTTCTTATCCAGTCGCGGTCGAGATTCAAACTCACGACCTCCCGATCACGGAGGGAGCGCTCTACCGACTGAGCTACCGTGAACGGTAAAAAGTCATTGAGGGAATTTAACTAAAAATGGCAAATCACAGTTATAACGCACATGTAGCAGAGATACCCGATATTTCCATTGATATATGCCTTACAATTGCATTCTGAGCAACAAACACATTGATAATATAACAGGCTTATGGATTGGTTACGTTTACCATACCGGTATTATGACCAGCCATTACACGGATATACAGTCATGAAAAGGAAATTCAAAGTTTTCATTGAAGTCAGACATATTACAAAAAAACACACAAGAATAGAAAAAAAACGTATTTCTTCTTTTGAACAACGACAATCATGACAATGTGTGCTAATCTCCTAAATTATTTTTTCTCAATATTAAGTGTCTTAAGATAGTACAAAACACCCATGACATCTATTTTATCTCATTTCTTAAAAAGTACATGAAAAAAATCACTTGTTGTCGATAATCGATGATCTTTGCAAGAATACCAATAGGCTGTAATATGTATTTTGTTAAAAAATAAGAGACATTCTATATATTGGTTATTTGAGAGCCTACATTTTAGAATGTATTAGCTGTCTAAATGAGATTAAAAATCTGTTATAAAATGTAAAGTAACTTTTGATCCATAAATAGGATGATATTTGGTAATGTATATAAGGAGTCTCCATTCTTTATGACAAGGTCAAGGTCATATTAAAAGGTCAAAGATCAAATACTGTGACGTCATCTAGTGAATCTCCTGAAGTTTTTTGCCATTGATTTTTTTCAATTACCAAAATATCTGAAACCACCCGTTCAATTTTCCGTATTTTGTCACATTTTATTTTGGGATCTATTTAAATCATTCTGTTGATTTTTTTGTAAAATATAATTATACATTTTCTCTTAAGAGGACTTCAAATATAGCATATTTATATGTGTATTTTCTATTCCTGGGTTATGTATGTTCTATTTTTACATCACATTTTACTCAAATTTACCGGTATCAACATATTTTACTGAAGTTTATTAACAAAAAGGTTAAGTTTAGTAACAAAAAGATTGCCTTTATAAACAGCATCCCACAAGTTTGCATTTGATTAATTGATAGTGTTTAAATAAGCCATTTTCTCAAGTCAAATGTCTGATTTCACAATCTTCTTACTGGGGTCTGATAGGCCATATTTCAAACAATGTGGGCAAAAATGGTGCGGTTAAATTTCTTTCATATTACGTATAAGGAGAGATTTTTCATCTAAAAACAAAATAGCAAAGTTTAAAAAAAAATGAATTTGAGGAAGATTTTGGCCTATCTATTGTGAACTACCTTAAATGCTTTTTCATGCAGAAGATATTTTAATATTCCAAGTTATACACAAGCACTTTGTTCAGATATCCACAGAAAATGTAATTTTCTGAATCTAAACACAACCCCTGACAATTTAAGTTCCCTGAAGGCGCAAGTGTAATTAAGTAAGCGAGGAATCGTCCTTTTCTATCCAGTAAATGAACACGGCGTTCAGCACCATCCATAACTAAAATGTTACCGTTTTTGTCACATGAAACTCCCCCTGGACAAAATAAGGACTGCGAAGTCCCAGTATAAGAAAATCGTCTTTTCCCATTTTTCTTAACCACTACCAAAGCTCCTGCAACTGTTGCACTCCAGTCAGAAACACATATGTCACCATTATCTTTTTCCATAATATATCGAGGATCATGAAAGAGGGGTTGCTTTTTACTGTCTAACTGGATTTTCCGAATTTCCTGTCCCTTCATAGTGTAACGGGAAATCCTAGCTTCCTCGTTTAATTTTTCTCCTATGAGAAAATCTTCATTTATTCGAGAGTAATATATGCAACATGGCGTCCAGTCATTTGTGTTGAACACAATTTGCCGTATACTGCTTCTGTCCGGTTTAAGTTCTTCTACAGATTTGCTTTTCACATCTATAACTATTAGAATATCGTTTTCTCTCACTGTGTGGATTCCGTATTCTCCATTAGTTTTTATCTGCTTCAATTCTTTTCCGTCATTGTCGATAAGGAATATTTTGCCAAACTGATTGCTGACCCAAAATGATCCAGAGGAGAGACAAGAAATATGGCGGCTCCTGCCAAAATTCATCACAGACAAGTCTTTTTCTTGTTGTGCAATTGGTATTCGTATGTCTTTCTTTGTCCCTCGACCCCTTTTCTCCTCGCCAGGTTCTTCTTCTCCGTTGTCTGAATTTCCTTTGCATCGAAAACAAATAACACCAAGGCTATTTCTGACATATAGTGAAGTTTCTTGAAAGTCATTACTAGACTCCTCTAATCCAACATCTGGATCAAATTTTAGACAATTTTTACATACAAATTTGTTGCATATCTCACAAGAATATGCAGAATCCCCGAGACAATACGCACACTTAATGGGACACTGGGCCATATCGAAAGAGAAGCCTTTTTTTCAGAAATAGACTCTTTACAGATATTCGAGTTCAAACATGTGAAGGTATGCACAACGTGAATGACTTGCTTATTGATAATCTAATCGTGATACTATCTGGTATGTTTGTTTTGGAATAGATTGAAAACTATGATTTAGCGCAGACCTTGCTTGTTGTCCTCGCATTTTATTCTGTCTGCAATTGGATCTCTTTAAAATAGTTCCTTTGTGGGCATTTATTCAGTAAAATAAAATATGTATAAGCATTTTATCACACAATAGATTTCTTTATAGCTGTTTTATAGACCAGTGTGTACACGTTTCAAGTTATGTCTTATTATGTTCCCCAAACGAAGTTTGGGAACATATTGTTTTTACTCTGTTTCTTATTAAGGTCTTCCGTCTTCACGGAAGACCTTATAGTGATTCTACTGTTTCTTATTATTAGGTCTTCCGTTTTCAACGGAAGACCTATAGTGATTCTACTGTTTCTTATTATTATTATTATTATTATTTTTCATTTTTATTTTTCTGACCTTTTCAAATCGCGATATCTCAAAAACTACTCATTCATTTTCAGCCAAATTTTCAAGAATGATTTGTTATCTCATGCCATTTTGAAATATTGAAAAAGTTTGGAAAAATTTACTTCCGGTCGGGAATTATTACGATTTTTCACTTTTTACACTAAAAATCTAGTCCATGAATGTTCTCAGAAACTGTTAAAGGTAGGAGTCTGAAACTTTCAGGTATGATAGAATTTGGTTTGTAGATGTGTGATGGAAACATTTCGTGTGTCGTCGTAACTTCCGGTCGTCACAGGAAGTGATTTAAAAAGGGTAATTTTTTGAACTTTTTTGTTTTTCAATATTTTTTTATGATGTTGATAGGCTTAATAAAGAGTCTTACAAGAATGCTAAATATGTAGTTTGTTTAAAAATTGATTAACCCATACTCTGAATATTTATCATTTTTCAATTTTAAGAGACGGTTTTTGATAGTGTAATGGTTAGCATGTTGAATTTTCTAGTGGGCGATCTGGATTCAATCCAAAGAATTTCCAAATTTTTTCTCACTTTTTGGGGCTCAAATATAAGATTTTATCTTAAGGGGGGGGGGGCTATGTCTTTAGACGTCAGAGCAGCGGTGTTTGACGGCACAATATCAGCGTGTCTTTTTACTCCCTCATAAAGAGTTTGCAGTTTAATTTTGCACTAATTAATGTGCATAGATGCAATTGTGATATGACAAAATGAGGAAAACATGTTGGTACAAATGTATATGTAGCTAGATACCTATGCAATTGTATCATAAATTGGAGAGTTGCGGAATTGTATTTTGAAAGTAGAATTTGTTACTTTCTCATGTTGATTGAATAACATATATAGCAATTTCAAATGAGAGAAAAATAAACTTCAATGATATTTTTCTTTGATTTTAGTAGGGCAATATTCCTTTATAGATGCAAGTTACAGAACATAATAGGTATCAGATTCCTTGAGCGTCATATGGCGAGACGTGTTTTGTTGCGAAACATTCCAGTCTTTTCATTAATGTGTTACTAATTGGAATAATCCACTTTGGGGGTAAAGAGGAATATAAAATGTGTAAGAAAACTTAGTGCTGCCTTTATGTTACCTGCCCGTATACGATATGTAATATGTACAGTGTGATAAATATACATTCTTAGACTAGAAAATCAGGCTACAGCAACATATTTTTAAAAATTTCATTGAAGCTATCACGTACTCTTATTCAATTGAAGACACATTCCAAAGAAAAGGTGCGATGATTTACTCGTGACGTTTGGCGCGAAATAATGTATCTTGACCCGCCTTTCACAAATGGTCTGATGCAGTAGTGTAGAAGTACAGAAAAAGATTACACGGACATGTCTGAATTTGGAATTGCATAGAATAGAAAGTTGAATGCATAAAGAATAAAGGAAGTAAACACAATAGTTTTTTTTTTTTAGTTTTTATCAGTAACAGATTATTTTCTCTGCTATCAGTTATTGTTAAAACTCAAGTAACAAATCCGATGTAAATCTACTAGTACTTGCACAAAATTTAGCTGGCTAGTTTTCATCCTATAATTCAGCACTATAAGAAATAAAGATTAACCTGCCTGACACTTGTTACTTCAGGGAATGAGTGCAAGGTAAACATCTATGATGGCTGGTACATTGCGCTAGTGTAGTGGTATCAATATTAAAGAACAAGGTCCACTTAGGGCCTTTTTTGGCCCTGTGAATTTCAGAAAAACTGAAACTGCTTGGTTTTAGTTGACAATGCATTAAATATCATTTAGACCTTTGATGACTGCGTATCTGTCAAAAATGACGTAATTTTCTGGCTAGCCAATGCATTATGACGTCATGAAATGCGACATTTTCCGTATATCGTGAAAAATTCTACAAAACAAACCAATTTTTAAAGCTAATTTTTCGATATTTAATATAGAGCGTAACCTCTGATCTTAAATATGCAACTATAAAATGATAGAACTTTTTCTGAGGATTACAAAACCTGTTTTATTATTTAGATCAGAGGATGCAATCATATTATTTCTCTTCTTTCTTTTTTAAGCTAAAACTTGCATCACTTTATTGCATCTCTTTCGCTGTTTTGAAATATGTTAGATTCCACCGGAAATAAAACGTCAACTTCTGGTCTATTGCTCGGCAACAGTAAACGATTGAAGTCTGAAACTTTCAGGACTGATAGTCAGTGATCAGTTTATTTGAATCGTGACAAAATCTTGTATCGCCGTTACTTCCGGTCGTGACAGAAAGTAATGCAAATAAGGGAATGGTTAATGGTTAGCACGTTGGATTTTCAGGCTGACGACCAGGGTTAAATCTCCAGAGTGTCTGAATGTCTTTTATCACTTTTTCAGTTTGAGTTTTCTTTTTTTCAGAATCGGACGGAAGACCTCTCATTGCTCGCAATGAGTTTCTAGTTATTATTATTATTATTATTCTTTTTTTTGACCAAATTTTGTGCACGCAATTTCTCAAAAACTATGCAGTGGTTTTCAATGAAACTTTCACTAAAAATGAGATATCATATGAACTTTATTCATCACAAGTAAAATTTGGAAAATTCGCTTCCGGTTCCAAATTATGGGCAAATTCCTGATTTTTAAATGGAATTTTGTCCGCGGCGTATCTAAAGAACGACTAAAGGTATGAACTGGAGACTTATTAGAGATTATAGGACATGTCTTTTAGATTACCAGAATCGCCTTTTCGTGCGTCGTCAGTACTTCCGGTCGCTATCGGAAGCGAATTAAAAAAGTTGAATTTTTCAACTTTTTTGTTTTTCAATATATTTCAATGATATTAGTAGGGTTAATAGAAACTCTTTTCAGAATACATAATATATAATTTGTTTGAAAATTGATTATAGATATTATAATTATTTTTAATATTTTTTAGACAAATATTATGCACTCGATATCTCAAGAACTATTCATTGGTTTTCCGTCAAACTTTCAGGTATAATACGCTTAAAAAAGCCATTGTTACATTTGATAGAATTTTTGAAAAATTCACTTCCGGTTCCATGTTACGGGCAAATTCCTGATTTTTAAATTGAATTTTGTCTGCGGCGTATCTAAAGAACGACTAAAGGTATGAACTGGAGACTTATTAGAGATTATAGAACATGTCTTTTAGATTACCAGAATCGCCTTTTCGTGCGTCGTCAGTACTTCCGTTCGCTACCGGAGGCGAATTAAAAAAGTTGAATTTTTCAACTTTTTTGTTTTTCAATATATTTCAATGATATTAGTAGGGTTAATAGAAACTCTTTTCAGAATACATAATATATAATTTGTTTGAAAATTGATAATAAACATTATAATTATTACTAACATTTTTAGACAAATATTATGCACGCCATATCCCGAGAACTATTCAGTGGTTTATCATCAAACTTTCAGGGATAATGCCTTTTAAAAAGCCGTTGTTAGATTTGAAAGAATTTTGGAAAAATTCACTTCCGGTTCCATGTTACGGGCAATTTCCTGATTTTTAAATGAATTCCTTTTTTGCGGCATTTCTAAAGAACGGCTGAAGATATGAACTGGAGACTTATTAGAGATGATAGAACATGACTTCTAAATTTGCGGAATCGCCTTTTTGTGCGTCGTTAATAGTTCCGGTAGCTACCGCAAGCTAATTGAAAAAGTCGAATTTTTCAACTTTTTTGTCTCTCAATGTTTTTAATGATTTTACTAGGAATAATAAAGACTGTTATAAGAAATGGTCCCACTAGCGTAATGGTTAGCGTATGTTTAATTTTCAGGCTGGGGACCTGGATTGAATCCCCAGAATGTCTGGATTTTTTTGTACCTTTTTTCAGCTGAAATATAATACCGTATCTTTGAAATGATATCTGGTATAATGTTCCGTTCGAATTACGTGATATCTTTTTACAATTTACGTTTTCGAGTATTTCTTGTATGAAGGAGTTAAAAGGGATGCACAACGTAATACAGATAGTGTTATGAGTGAGGAATCAACTTCTCTCATGACGGAGAAGGGACGGAAGACCTTCTTGTTGCCATGGCAACAAGTTTCTAGTTATTATTATTATTATTATTATTCTTTTTTTCTACTTTCTTCTCCGGTACTTTTTTGTCCGGGAGTGTTCTCATAGAACCTCTCATCCGATTGACATGAAACCTTTTTAGGGTTAATAGGCATGTTGTGTAGGTGTGCGGAACGAAGGTCATTTTGCGCGCACATGCATGCACGTGCGCGCGCGTGCATTGAGTGAAATGACTGATATACTTGATAAAGCCGTAACTTTTATATTTCTTGATGAATTGCTTTGAAACTCAAAATATAAAGATATATTAGTAGTCTAGACAAGTTGACATGGTCAAATTAGCATGAACTCACGCGCATGCACGTGCGCTCTCCTCTGATTGGCTGATACAAAAATCTCAATAATTTCCTTGTTTTTTGACGAAATACTTTGAAATTTAAAATATAAGTATATATTATAAGGTGCTACAACATGTTACATAGGAAATCTCTTGAAACCACGCGCAGGCAGGTGTGCTGCAATCTGATTGGCTGAGACTTTAAATGTCTATAACTCATTTGGTTTTCAACAAAACATGATGGAATTTACGACATGGATATGCTCATAGGGCTCCTACATTATGATACTATCAAAATTGAATGCAAGGCCATGCATGCGCGTATGCTGAATTCTGATTGGCTAATACTTAAAGGGTTACATCTCTCTTGTTTTTCAATGAAATTCTTTAATATTTAACACAAATGTATGTATTGTGAGACACTATAAGAAAATTAATGTGAAAAATGTAGAAGCAAGCACATGCGCTGAAATTTGATTGGCTAATACCCATATGGCTATATCGGAGTAGTTTTCCAATGAAATACCCTTATAAATAAAGTGTCCATCTATACTACAAAAGTATAGTCTAATTTATTGAAGCTTGTAGGGAATGGGGCATCATAAGGAATTGGGGAGCTGTTTGGGGAACATCTGTAACGGTTCCCGTTACAATTAGCACTAGTTACTATTATGTCTTCCACAAGAGGTAGACGTATTGGCTGTTCGTCTAATTTGAATCTAATTTTTATGTGTTCAAACTAATCTTACTATTGCTGCGCGTGACCTAAAAATGTGTATTGATCTTGATTCAATATCATATCTAAAGGTCAAAGTTACCGTACATTGTCATTGTAAAATAATGTCTTAAGTATGACTAGAGTATACATTTTGTAATTTTGTTGCTATAACGACTTAGAAGTGTGTCATAATCTAAACATAAAATCTTATATTTCAAGGTCATAAATGTGACCAGGAATGAGGAAACATTTGGTTTTTTTGCACAAAGAAATCTACAAACTTCTCAGAAATGAGTTATTTTTCAAAAATATTAATATAACCCCTAGATTTCTTAACTACAAAACCGTGCATTTAAAAAAATGTATTTTGAAAATCTTGCAAGCACGTTTTCAGATACAAATGAAATTGGATATAATATGATTTATTAACAATCAATTGTTATACAATTATATACATTCAATACAAATGCTGAAACCATTACTAATGCAAATGTAAATCACACAAAACAAGACAAAAATAAAATCATATACATGTATTGCATATTCATGAGCAGGTAGATTAATATCACAGCTGTATGATCACCTTACATTTCCTATATATAAACTGAAACTAAAATCAAGATTTGTGAAACGGAGGAGTCATTTCCGTTTATCCTCTGTTGTCTATATCAGTTTTGTTTAAAAAAAAATGGGAGCAATGTCATATCGTAAATTTTGAGTTTATCAGGTGACAGTAAATACGTAATTTACAAGATGACAATAACATGTGCATATTTGGCGGCCTTCATTGATGATATCATAGTACATGCATTAATAGTAAAAAAAAAAAGGTAATAATAAAAATAGGAGCAACGTTAAAAGCTCTTCAAATGAAAATATTTACTTTTATTTTTATTTTGTACAGTGTACGCCATTGATTTCAAACTTGAACGAAAAAAACTGCATTTATAAATCTTTCACATAAATTTTTGAAACCGTTTCAATCAAACTTGCTCTGCTCCAACTTTAAATAACAAAGATCTATCCCATAAAAAATATGAAATCATCAAATTAATTTGGAATTTTACAATGGATGCATCATTGTAGACTACCACACTGAACACTTCTTAGCTGCGTTCATAAAACTCGTCTTTGGACAGTTAAACGCTCTCGAGAAATCTTCAGAATTCTGTAATGTACCGATCACTCTGTTGAGAGAAAGAGAGAATGATGCATAAGTTATCACAGGGTTTTGAAACAATCTGAGCAAAAACCGGTGTATGAAGGGGCCTAAAAAGCCGCCATCAATTCCTCTTCAAACTCTCAAAAATTTAGGATTTATCCGAAAAAGCTATGAAAAGTTTCCTCAGTCACTAGGCAAAATATTGTTAATTTTTGTTTGATTTAAAAATTCCGCACTATATGTCTCAAATATTATTTGAAAATGATTTATTGTGGAACTTTTTAAATGTAGTTGACCTGATTGAACTCGGAGGTTACTAGCTGGTGAAATTGAATCTGATCTCTCTAGACGGACGTTCAACAGTCATTCAAATACCTTCTGCCTTTTGACTGAAATAACTTTTGATGAATTTTCCTGATAAATACTTAAGTTTTATGAATTTGAAGACAGCCACTGAGGGATTTATGGCGGCTTATAATGACACCTCTCCCCTACTTTATAGTGTGTCAAGATTTCAAGATTCAGAGTTATCTTTCTTTGCACCCTACCTGAATCTGCCTGGGCTGTGCACGCCTGTCAAGATGCGGTTAATAGCCGACTCTCGACGCATATTTCCACACCAAACCTTTTAAGTAGCAAAATAAGAAACATTAACGTACTGAATGATTATTTCTTGCACTTCGTGTTGCTAAAATTGGCCCGAGCGCATTATGCATGATCTTTTAACTTTTATACTCATGTACATTTTTTTTTTCAAAAATAACATTTCAAGACTGAAATTTTCGCTCATTTACTACTTCATATTTAAGAAGTTAGTGCGACAAAATAACTACAGGCCCGTAGAACGTGGGGGGAGGGAGGGGGCTCTAGCACTCGCTGAATTTTAATAGATAAGTCAATGGGAACATCTGATAGAGTGACCAAATGGAGTATTAATACAGTAAGAATTTTAAAATCTGATTCAAGTTATTTTCGTGCACTTTCGTTATGAACATACAATGTATATAGAAGATTCGGGGCATATTATATAGTTTTTGCTCTGTCCGTCTGTCTGTCTTTTTGTCTGTTTATCTGTTTGTCCGCAAAACTTTAACCTTACCCAAAACTTTTGATTGGTTGGAGGTATGGCTTTCATATTTCACATTTATATTCCTTGTGACAACATTCCTTGGGTATCAACATTTCTGACATCTTGACTTTGAGACACAGGCACTTGTTTCGGTAATAAATTTTTAACCCATAGTATAATAATAACACAAGGTATCCAACTCCGAATTACACGGAGTATACCCCCTCCCCCAGAACCGCTATCATTTACACTTTCAAAGGAAATACACTGACAAACTGTTTATACCTATGTTTTCTACGATAATTTATCTACACAACCATATATGGCATGCTTGTCTTTATTTTCTTTAGTCTCCGTAAACAGCGTCAAAACTCTGCTCGTCGAGTGGAAAAGTCGAATTCAACCATGAAATGGTATGAGCTAATCCCGCACAGAGATTTTGATTGGCTAAAAATCTGTTTCTAAAATTACATCGGATAAACATCGTAATGTTTTCAGGGAAAATCAGAAGTAAACAAGTTCTATTTACTCATGCAATATTTAAACACTGGAATTGTATTTTTTAACCCACTCATTTTTAAATTTTGTTCTCTGTGCGGGATTAGCACATACCATTTCATGGTTGAATCCGACTTTTCCACACGGCGAGTAGAGTTCTGACGCTGTTTACGGAGACTAAAGAAAATAAAGACAAGCATGCCATATATGGTTGTGTATATAAATTATCGTAGAAAACATAGGTATAAACAGTTTGTCAGTGTTTTTCCTCTGAAAGTGTAAATGAGTGCGGTTCTGGGGGAGGGGGGTACTCCGTGTAATTCGGAGTTAGATACCTTGTGTTATTATTATACTATGGGTTAAAAATTTATTACCGAAACAAGTGCCTGTGCTTTGAGATCGGGGTTTGACCCACTTTCGCAAAATTTTACCAAACTTTTACCGTGGTCATAACTTTTGGACTGTTGGTGCTAGGGCTTTCATACTTCACATGTGTATTCCTTGTGACAAGACCTTCCCTTGGGTACCAAAAATTTTGACCCTTTGAACTTGATCTTTGAGTTTTACCTACTTTTAAAAAACTTTAACCTTGGCCATAACTTTTAAACTGTAGGTGCTATGGCTTTCATATTTTATCGGTGTATTCCTTGTGACAACATTCCCTTTGGCAGCATTCATTTTGACCCTTTGACTTTGACCTTAGAGTTTGATCTAAAATTCTTTAACCTTGGCCATAACTATTGAACGGTTGGTGCTAGGGCTTTCATATTTCACAGGTGTATATATTGTGACAAGACCTTTCATTGGGTACCAACAATTTTGATCTCTTGACCTTGGAGTTTGACTTGCATTTGAGAAACTCTCACCTTCGTCATATTTCACAGGTGTATATATTGTGGCAAGACCTTTCATTGGGGACCAACAATTTTGATCTCTTGACCTTGGAGTTTGACTTGCATTTGAGAAACTCTCATATTTCACAGGTGTATATATTGTGACAAGACCTTTCATTGGGTACCAACAATTTTGATCTCTTGACCTTGGAGTTTGACTTGCATTTGAGGAACTCTCACCTTCGTCATGGGCTGCTGTATGGGGGCACAGTGTTTCACAAACACATCTTGTTTTTAGTAGTCCCCTACACCTTTTCGTCTTTTAGTCCGAGTAAGAATTTAATTTGACAATGATAGTTTTTTTGTTGATTTATTGCAGTTGTTGTGTTTAAAAAATTAAACAGGTATAAAACATGCAATAATAAAATACATGTACCCCAATGTTACATAATCTGGGAAATATAATGAAACATTTTCTCCGTACCAACAACTACTATGCTGGCGTTATCAAAAGTAAATTAAAAGGTACAAGTTTTTGCTCGATAAATCGAGATTCCAAAGAAAGAAATATTAGTAACCCAGTCGATAGAAAAAAAGCAAATAAACTGTTTACTATCCCTAACTGATATTGTATATTGCTAAGAAACAAGCTATTTACCTGTGCAAAGTTAATGAAGAATATTTGGTCGTGTGTATACTTGACTCCGGGTAATTGTTCCTCCTCCATTCCTCTTGTTTCTACCCATCTTCTGTAAGCCTGCAAATAAACACAGTTTCAATAAAACCATTCTATAGTAGTTCTAAACTACTAAAAAACAAGAAACATTTACTGAAATAATTGGCAAATCCAAAATTTTGCAAATGTGCTGTTGTTTTTCATTTAAATTCTGCATTATAATTTGACAGAAATATGTCGGCGTGATTAAATCGGAACACTTACAATTTGATTTAATTAATGTTCTCTGTAAAGGTTTTCAAAGATATTTTTTTTTTTAAATCACGATTTTACATCATCATTGAGCATATATTTATAAATATACAATATGTATCTATCTGTAAAATATAAAATACAGCTCCACAGAAACAAAACGTCCTTTAAAATTTTGATATTTAAGTGGACCGCCTCCTTGCAACATCTAAGAGCTCTATAAGGAAACCAATACATCGTAAAATTCACCATTAATGTGTTACCGATAGAACAGTATCGGGTCAAAAGGACTTCAATCTATAGTGTTACCAAAATAATGACTGTCGTGGGATTCTCCAATTTTATCTATTTTTATAATTATTCGGTATATGTTTGAGTCCAAATATTCATATAGTTGAAGACGTACAGGTTTCTGATAACCTATGTGATATATGTAGGTTCCATAATATAGGTGATTTACTGCAAGTTATTTACTAGAGTCCCGTACTCTTTTTAAGAATCACCGTGTGGGAGTGAAACATAGCGATGAGAGAGAATCAGTTCCGGGAAAATATGTACAAGGGTAGAACTTTAAAGAAATTGGCATCCATCGACTTTGAACTCACTAATAGATACAGCATCTCACATTTGAATCCCTGAATTGTTTTCGAATTACCTGGTAATGCTTGTACCAATCTTACCCTATAGCTTTCCTTTAACCCTCCGTTATCTGCAATGTTTTCTCCAAGAGTATTGATACCATTCATCTAAAACCATAAGAATACCTGTAAACTGTGTCATTGTTATTTTGGAGTAGTTAATACAAAAATTAGAGAAGTTAATGTTTGGTTGAAGGACTGACCTTCATCCCGTCAGCCTCAGGGACAGAGAAGTTACCGTACTGGTCAACTAGACACTGGGCCTGTTTCTTAAAAGTCTGTATCACTTCATCTGTCCACCATTGTTTGAGATTGCCATCTTTGTCATATTGCCGCCCTTCAGAATGTGTGTTAAGTTAAATAGATTTTAACATGAACATGTACTCACTAGAAAATTGGTAAATTCTACTTTCTCCGGCAGATCCCATACCTCTGTCATCAAAGCCGTGAGTGATCTCGTGTCCTATCACAACACCGATACCTCCATAATTCATAGATCTAAAAAACAATACAAAGGTAAATATAAATTAATGTATTCGCATTTGAATTATTTTTATAAAGTAGTTCAAATCATTCTTGTGTTAATCTCCCAAAAGCTTCAAACACATTTTGCAAAATACTAGTATGAGAACTTCAGGTCAGAAAATTACTCATTTAGTCAGAAAAATTACTCACTTAGTCTGTGAACTGGAAAAGAATGGAGGCTGTAAAATTCCTGCTGGAAACACTGAAATAGATTAATTTATACAATTCTTTTGGTATGTAGTTCTACTGGTTTAGTGAGATATATTTTGGTATTTTAATATTTTTTTTAAAACTTAAATGAATACAAAAAAGAGTAGGAGAAGTGTTTTTTTTAAAATAATTTGTCAATCGGATTATATTATTTATCGTAATCCAACAAAAACAAGAGACCAATGACCCTTGATGGTCATCTGAGTATCATGTGTTTCTCAGTCTATGACTATGACTTTACTGAAACCCTGGTCTCATGTACAAAAAAATACTGATGGGAACTTTTAAATGATTTTCATATTCATTCAGCTTCTCTCCTGGATGTTCAAGAGTAAAGAAAATAAGGTACACTTTAATAGACTTATTAACTGTAAAGAAACTTTAATTTCCGAACGAAAAATAAAAGTAACATTCGAGAGCTTCTTTTCTGTGTCTGTAATTGTCACTCTCGCTTCCAGCTTCACTCTTGGCTAGCAGTCTAGACTTTGAAGGGGAGGGGGATTGCGTAAGTCATCTTTGCCAAACATAACCTCTCCATAAAAAGACCCATGTGATCCAGATATCCTCCTCGAGGTGGTAGATGGAAGATGGTACCCTACGGCCCCAACGAAAACCACAGACTAAGCTCCCAGATATGATACATGGTATGCCATGCCCACCATTGTTTTGACACGCCCTAATGCCTGCAAAGCAAACCTAGTCCCCAGTTACGGGTGAAATAAGGATCACAAGCCGTGCAGGGCAACCCAACTAGAAGAGGAAAACTTGGTATAAAAACCTGGACAGTTCTGTAGGTCGTTTACAAGGGATTGTGATCATCTATAAAATATATATACATGATACGAACAAAACCTTCAAATCAATTTGGTGTTTTGAGATTTTGAATCATTTTTAGTATGGAATCTTGTACTGAGAACAGATGTCCTAACTATACTGTTTGTGCTAGCCGGCCCTTAGAATATTTGTTTTACACCATAAGAATTGTATTTTTGTATGCCGTTCATTCTTGTAAAGACACGGAAGTTTGAAAATATGATCTGAAGCAATTTTAACTGCGTCTTATATTAATAAGGGTCGACGATTCTTGCCTGAATAGGTCAACTTAAACTGAGAAAGACGACTATAATCTGTGTCATCTGATACAGAATTCCAATCCTTTATATCGATGTCATGAGATCGGATCCTTATTCAAGCCTCTAAATTTTTTTAGTTAAATTTAAAACTTAAGGATCTACGACGTATTTAAAGTGATATATTTAGGAGATGCAAACATTTTTTTCTTGTTATGTTGTAAAATATTACGTCGTTTGAACGAGAAATTATGTTCTTCGCAGAAGTTATCTTGTTTGCACGACTCAACACGTTCACTCAACTTAGGCGAAAAAAATATGTCATGTAATGAAATGTTAGGATAACGAACAGTGATTGATCTAAAAGAAAAAACACCTACAAAGATACAAATCTGTAAACAGGGCATAAAACACTTGACCCCTGAAAATTCCAGAGGTGGGATCAGGTGCCTAGGAGGAGTAAGCATCACCTGTCGACCAGTCACACCCGCCGTAAGCCCTATGTATTGATCAGGTGTACGGAGTTATACTTAGTCAAATTTAGTATTAAAACAAAGGCCTAGCAATTTATATGAATCATGTCAGTCAAAATACGTCCCAATGACAGGCTGTATTTGCTAACAAGATCATTATGACTTCCATAGAATTTACAAAATGCTGACTTTAAACGAGATTGCTGAAATCCCTGAAACATAAACTTATCCGTCAGTAGCCTGTCTCAAATTAAAAAATGATCGTTCTCAGAGCATCAAAGTATCGAATAAGCTGGGGGACATAAACACCATATTCAGGTGAAAGTGGGATATTACTCTGTAAATAAGGGACATGAACATTGATTGGACATTGATGGATGGACATTGACATGTACAATGATGGAAAGGTTGAAGTCATCCTGTGTGTGCTACCTGGCCCTTATCGTCTCTAGTCAGTAATACATCCAAATATGAAACATATGTGACAGAATCTGTGGTATCTTTAATTTCGAGTTCACTGGGATATATAGAGTCGAATATGAATGAAAGTAGCTATACATTGTAAATTGATAAAACGCCGTCGATATATCTGAATGTCGAGTTGAAGTCCATAGCAAGTGGTTTTTTTTCTTAGGAAGAAGTTTTTTTAAAATAAATTCTGCTTCACAGGAATATAAAAACAGGTAGACTACTAAAGGAGCACAATTATTCCAACAGATTATTGGAAGACCTGGTCTCCAAAGACTACATTGATAGTGTCTTGTCTATGTGGAACTCCAGTGTCCTTTTAATATCAATCTCAGAGTCCTTTTGTGTAGAATTAGAGTGATTTTTTTTTTTTTTTTACAAATTAATTTGTTGATGACCAATGACAACGTTTGAAAATTTCCGAGTTCCATTTTTATTGAAGAAGTTGTTTATGATATCAAAAGCACACTTTTTTAGTTTTCCGTGAGGAAGTGTAGAAAAGTCATATGTTTTGATGATACTGACTTTTGAAAAAAAAAAGATTTTAAAGTTCTTTGGAGTTTTTAAGAATCCACATTTGATTTATACTACTTCTCGAATATGTATGCAGTAACCCAGTGCATCTGAAGTTTTTCCTTTACAGTAACTAATATTTTTGTGAGGAGTAAAGAGAGGGGCTTGGTAGGGCAGTTGCTGGAACGGCAATATATCTTTGTATGGATATTTATGTATCTTACAAATGATGTAATAAGTCATGCGAACGAGATATTATGTTGTGCGAACGAGATACTAAGTCGTGCAAACGAGATAATAAGTCGTGAAAATGACATAATATCTCGTGCGAACGACATAACATCTCATACTAACGACATAATAAGTCGCGAGTCTGTCAATGAGCTTAAGCCCACTATTAGTGTTTGTGTTCAGTATGAAAAAAGAACAAAATACATCTTGAAATGCTTGCTAGTTTCAACAACATATAACATTTAAGGACCTGTCACAGTAAGAAAAACAATTTTGTTTATTTTTTTGTTTTTGTGTTTTTGTTTGTTTGTTTGTTTTTTGTTTGTTTGATTTTTTTTCTTTTGTATTATATTTTTTGTAACGATGGCTGTTACCAAACCATTTGAAGCATCGATCAATAATTGTTATATATACATTCTTAGAATTATGACATTGAATAATACAACAAAAGGTGATTGTTTTAAAATCTTCTGACCATTTTTTCTTATTTTACTGATTGATTGTATATTGTTTAACGTCCCATTCGAGAAGTTTTCACTCATACAGAGACGTCACCGTATGCCGGTGAAGGGCTTCAAATTTAGACCTATACTCGGCACTCAGGGCCATTGAGCAGTGAGGGTTCTTTATCGTGCCAACGCCCACCGTGACACGGGACCTCGGTTTTTAAGGTCTTAACCCGTGACTTTCACTTCTAGTGCCGGGCGCTTGGCGAAGGAACAGTACATCTTAGATTTGAACGAGAATCAAACCCGGGCCTCCCGATCACGAAGCGAGCGCCCTACCACTAGGCTACCGTGACCGGTCTCTTATTTTACTGAAATATTCTAAGGAAAACAAAATGTAATAAACTGCAATTATTACATTTTGCGTTATTACATTTTGAATAAAACAATTAAACGAAATATTACATATTTTTTTTTAGATTAAGACTATTGATTGTGTGAAACTGTTCTAGAAAATAAACCAGTAATATAGGCCAATAAACAGAAATCTATACAGTTTGCGTTGAGGTAAAAATTTAATAATGCACAAATGTTACCTATTTCCTTACTAAAAGACAAGGTAATATCTGTTGTCCCCTAAAACTGCAGTTACATGTATTTTTCGAGGCGTATAGTAAATATATAAAAACTGTAAGATGGACTTTTGAAAAAAAAATTCAGACAGAAAGACACACAGGATGAAACTCCACCTCTCAGTGGACAGAATGGTGACTGAAAGGTCTGGAAAGGTGACTGAATGGCAGAGCTCTACCATTCAGTCACATTTCAGTAATCTATCAGTCATCTTTCAGTTAACTGAATGGCAAAGTTTCACTCTATGGCAGGCAAATGACAGAGGTTTAAAATTATAAACTCTTCTGGTTTACCATCATGAGCTTTATGTATACACTTACTGATTCGACATCATGAGAGCTTTATGTATACACTTACTGATTCACCATCATGAGAGCTTTATGTATACACTTACTGATTCGCTGACATGAGAGCTTTATGTATACACTTACTGATTCACCATCATTAGAGCTTTATGTATACACTTACTGATTCACCATAATGAGAGCTTTATGTATACACTTACTGATTCACCATCATGAGAGCTTTATGTATACACTTACTGATTCGCTGACATGAGAGCTTTATGTATACACTTACAGATTTGCTGACATGAGAGCTTTATGTATACACTTACTGATTCACCATCATGAGAGCTTTATGTATACACTTACTGATTCACCATCATGAGAGCTTTATGTATACACTTACTGATTCACCATTATTAGAGCTTTATGTATACACTTACTGATTCACCATCATGAGAGCTTTATGTATACACTTACTGATTCACCATTATGAGAGCTTTATGTATACACTTACTGATTCACCATCATGAGAGCTTTATGTATACACTTACTGATTCACCATTATGAGAGCTTTATGTATACACTTACTGATTCACCATCATGAGAGCTTTATGTATACACTTACTGATTCACCATCATGAGAGCTTTATGTATACACTTACTGATTCACCATCATGAGAGCTTTATGTATACACTTACTGATTCGCCATTATGAGAGCTTTATGTATACACTTACTGATTCCCCATCATGAGAGCTTTATGTATACACTTACTGATTCACCATCATGAGAGCTTTATGTATACACTTACTGATTCACCATAATGAGAGCTTTATGTATACACTTACTGATTCACCATTATTAGAGCTTTATGTATACACTTACTGATTCGATTGAGAACACTGTTGTAATAAGCATTCACTGTGGCGGGAGCTGTACCCCATCTGAAAAAATATTAATTAATGACAGCACGACAAGACACCAAGTGCTATAAAGACCAACAACAGTAAAGTCGGAGCTTTTTAATGTTTTGTAATACTCACTCATTTTTGTCCACTTCAAATCGAAGGTAGCGCAAGGAGTCAATCGAGGACCTTCGCAAGTTTGACAACACATTTTCAAAATATGTATTTGCCTCTGCCGTATACTGTAATTATTATCAGATTTTTATAAATAGCATCTTTGGAATTTTTTTCTTGAAGAAACCATTATTAATCATGTGTGTATGTAGTCATATTTATAGAACTTCTTAAACACTCACATTTTCGTAGTACTCGTCTAACGCAGTCGAATTTAAGATGAAGTCCTGATACCCAATCTTTTCTTGTATGTATTTTGCCTAAAAAAAATTACGCAAAAAGATAAGCTTACTTATGAACACCTACCCGGTATACAAGAACAAAAATTCAAAAATGCTATCAGGAGAACTAAATTAATTTGGCTTAAATAAATCATGATTTTTGTTCTAAATATCTTAAAAGTTAAATTAAAATGAAAACCTTTTCTTTAGCAAGTCCTCTAGTTGTATCATCCATCCACGTGTTTTCATCCACAAGTTCTCCAAAGGCTGCTCTCAGGTTATGGATCATATCCAAGGTCTAGGAAAATATTAAATCTAAGCTTTCGATGTGAATTAAACATTATTATTTGTTTCTTTTAAAATTAAACAATTCAAAAACTAAGATATTTGAATTACCTCTTGCTTTGCATTTTCATCGAAGGCTTCTTTAACAAAAAGACGGCCAAGGGATAGACCGTAGTAAGTGTTGACGTAGGAGGCGCAGGTCCGCCATCTTGCTCTTGAAGTCGAGGTTCCATATAAAGCCTTAAATGCCAAAGTTCTTTTTAATGGAATGCATCAAAGACACGGAGAGTGACATTTAATAAGAATTACTTATAAGGCAGACAGATGAACAGATGAGACACACTTTTGCATGGAAAAAAGTCCTGGCCTCTGGTTTTCGACCAGTAAAGCTAAGTAAGGGAATTACTAGTAGTCTAATCCGACCATAAGATAATCATCATTTGTCTAACACAATCAAAAGATGATTAGAATTAGTGTGTCATTCTTAGGTTTATCAGGATCATATCTCTCTCATTCATTTATAAGCTACTGTGAAATTATTACAAGTAATTTTCACGGGTAGTTAATTTTTACCCTTGTTTCTCGTGGTTTGAAGAGACCCATGAAATCATGTCCTCCAAAATACAAATACAAAAAAATCAAAGAGTAGTATCATGTTTGTCTACCAACCACGAAATTCAATCCTCTGGAATCATTTTTTTCCACGAATGAAAATTTGACTCCAAGAAAATAAGTGATATTACAGTTTTCAGAATTATTTATGAGATTATCAAAATTAGTCTAATTCATTCATTTGATTACCAGAATTGGTCTAACTCATAAGATGGTCAGAATTAATCTAACAGAATAACTATTAATTTTTTATTCGATGATTGGAATACATTAAGAACAAGTCATTCATTCATACGAAAATAAAAGTTAGGTCAACTCATTTAAATGATGAGAAGAACTAGTCTAACTCATTCATAAGATGATAAAAATTTGTCTATTCATTCATAAGATAATCAGCATTAGTCCATAGACAGAAAATCTTTCCAAGAAGGAGAAGAAATTCTCCCAAAAATAAAATTGATGGGATATCCAAATTAAAATCGAGTCTCTCTTTGGAAACCTTTCTCGAACTGACAAAACCATTTTTTCAATGGACATAATTGTCTGCACTCCAAAATTTTAAGTGGAGAGTTCGAAAGTTCTTAGAATTTGTATCATCGACATGCATAAGGTAATCAAAATTAGTTTAAATGCATGCAGGAGATAATCAGAATTAGTTTAACTCGTTCATAAGATATCAGAATTACTCCAACTTGTTCATAAGATGATCAGAACTACATGTAGTTCAATTGATCATAATTAAATAACTCGTTCATAAGATGATCAGAATTATTTAAACTCATTTTGAGTTAATGAGAATTAACCCTTACCTTATTATACTCGGTCACCAAGTCTTGAAATTTCTGACCCAAATTATTTATTCTGTTTTTCATGATACGCCAAACAAGGTAATTTGAGATGGTTCTGAAAAATATTGAATGCTTTCTTCTTAACCAAAACCTCACAAAAGAAATACATGTAGTTTTGTCTTGAGACACATTTACAGTAAATACAACTGATGTACTTTCTTTAAAGGTTATTGATAGCTAGTTAAAAATGTTTTCCTTTCTTGTTTTTTTCCAAATCTAAGATATGATCTCCTTATGGAGAGATGGTATTTTTTGTAATAAAAAGGGATTTTGAGATCAAGATGTGGTTGGATAAGAGAGATCAATTTAAATGTCACTACACCTTTGAATTGAAAAAAGTGATCCCTAAGTGCCGCTCTGCTCTGCAGGCAACACAAAAAAGGTCCTTTATTTGATTTTGTGTAAAACAGTAAATACAGAGTATCACACAAAAACATCGTTTCAGTGCAAAAGACTTACATAACTTTTTATATACCTGTGTGAATACTTTTCCAGAACTTCAAACATTTTTGAGAAGTATGGAATGGCCCTGACAATAATGGTCTCATTGGGAGGAATAAAAACATCAACTCCTTCAATGTTCATCACACGTGTTATAAATTCATCCCAGTTAAACTTGGCCTATCAAAGAATAAAACACCGCATTTATGTCAATGGTATTGGTATTTTTAAGATAACAATCATACTTGTACATATGTTAGAATTAAAAGTAAGATTTCCTCTAGTTTTAAGTATGACATTTTTCACTTTTCTGTGACGTACCCCAGCTGGTACTGTGTAGTTAGTTTTCAGTTTCTGCATTTCTATTGGATTGTACAGAGCAAAGCTGTCTCTCCTGTCCTCATCTCTCATAGAAATCTGAAGTAAGAAAAACAAGCGAATGAAGCAGTATGTATCTGAAAAAAGATAGACACAATTAGTCTAGAGGAATGATTAACCGTTATAAAAGACATGTTTTTCTTTTATACAGTTTTCACTGCTAAAACACTCATACTGCTATACTTATGATATATAATTACTGTTATTCTTCATTTTTACTCACCTAAATCCAACGCCAAAGGGTTTTTTATCAAAGAAAATTTGGCCAAAATCTCTAACCTGACAATAGCATTTTATCAGCCAACCATATATTCATACATTTGAAATGATATGCTCTCTCTCTCTCTCTCTCTCTCATTTAGCCATGATTGTAATATTACATTTGCGATGTCAGTTTCCAGTTTGATAACTTCTTCCATATCTTGAGCGGCGGTGGATGGATCAGCATGAAACTCTTCCGCCACAGCTTGCGCAAGCGCCTTGTAGGCCCGCACCATAGTGTCATTTAAGCCGTTAAGATAGTACTTCCGTCCAGGCATTCCAAAATCCGGTTGATCCAACTGCAACACATATCATTTACAAGCATCACTATAAGAAAAGGGGCTGTTATGAGACTTTTTTTCACTTAGACAAGCAAATGATGGGGACGTCAATTTATTCTTGTGCAATCGTAGCAACTCAAAGTGCCGAATATTTGGATTAATGACACTTGCTACAAACAAAAGGTTGGATGCATGAATATATAAATTTATTCATTTAACTTATAAAACATAGATTAACTAAGTATCTATTTTCATGTTTGTTTGTTTTTTTAAAGTTTGTTTGTAGCAAGTGACCTTTATTAGATTCTTGATAATAATTATGAAAAGAAGATGTTATATATCATCATATGTTTAGCAATTTAAAAAAAAAACAACTCACAAATATGACTCTTGCTGATGAGTTTTTGGAGTCCGTGTACACATATAAATTAATTAGTGGTTTGTTGTTATAACGTATGAGATTTAACAAAAGTGTTGTCAGGTTGTAGTCCGACTCATTCCAGTTTCCGCCCTTGTTGTTTCCTAAGACAGGCCAGCCGCCAAGTTCCTTCAGCAGGTCAAAGGATGGTTCAATACCACGACTGTCTATGTAAGCTGAAGCAGAATAACCATTCTGATTGTATTGAAGTTCCCTATTTATTTAATTTTTAAAAAATCTAATAGTTGAAAACATCCATAAATTAAAACGTCATGTATGTATTTCGCTGAACATAAGCATTTTAAGTAACGCGAGGAAAAGAGAGGTCCATGGGTATGATGACTTTGTCATGCTAAAACTTTCAAAGGTCTAAATGTGAAGTCCTGCACCGGTATATGTTGACGTCTAGAGTATATGAATGAAAAGTTAAACAACATAAAATCGATCAATCAATCACGCTAAATCAATCTCGGTCTCACTTAACTCTGAAAATATGAACTCATATATCAATAATTATACAGTTTTACAGTTGAATTTTCATTACCAAGTTAAGTAAAGTTTATTTAGTGTAGCATAGAAGATTTTTGAAGGTATAATGCATGTCAAATATATACGACCAACTTAGCTCCGACCTTAACTAAGCTTGGACTTCGAGTCTTTGGGACACAAAATTTCTCAATTAAGGAATGGAAAAATTCACTCATACATGCAATTTGCTTGCTTGCTTAATGTTTAGTAATAAAGAAATTTTTCAAAGGTATGTTAATGCATTTTCAATACATGACCACATTAGGTCCACAAAAGAGTTCAACCCAGGAGACATAAATTTCATAATTTTGATAAAAGTCTAAATTTTCCTGAGATTTCCGCAAAAGATGCATGTCTGTCCGTCTGTCGTCACTTTAATGTGACACAATAACTTGAGTGCCTTTCAATCATTTAACTTTTGGAGGATGGTAAGAGGAAGACACCTGCCAGGTTTTTCCTTTTGGTCATTCGGTCAAGCCATTAAAGTTATCTTAATTATTACACCATAATATAATTACTTGCGTAATTTTTGTCATACAGACTTCAAACTTACAATATGAATAGAAAATTATTAGACAAAACTTAGAGAGTTTCTACAATGACTTGGTCAAAGGTGTTAAGTCAAAACTCGAGATTATTAATATGTTTAGTCACTCGTTTGGGATACAGTGATTTCAGCTTCTACACTTTTGGAACCTGGTAGAAAAGTTTTCTATACTAGGCTCATAATTTTATTTATCAGTGTTTCAAAAGCTACTAAACAGGAATGTATGGATTTTTGTTTGAAATTTAGTGCCAGGAAAAACAAACATCAGAATACGATTCTTTTCATGTAATGTCAAGTCCATGTGCTACTTTTCTCTTCCTTTATTACGGTATATAATACAAACCAGATTTTAACAAATTTTTGGTTTGTACTTATATTTCCTTTTTCGGTAATGTGCAATGATGGGTATTTGTCATTTATCTTATAAACTATTCAATCTGACCTCATATAGATAATCAGACAGACTGTATTATACCCTTTAGTTGATAAACTACTGGTCGGCTATACTGTGTTAAGTTCCATTTGGCAGATACATGTTATTGTACTATATATATATGCTAACATACTTTGGTTGATACAAGACTTGTACAGGTTCTTGGCATGGCTAACAGACTCCGGGTCTCTCGATGATCCAGGTTGCTCCAGTACGACTAACGAATACAATGAAACACTCAGGTTTTTATTCATGAACAATAAAAGACATACAAAATTATACAACCTAAAATGAAATGTACATATTCTTTTTTTTCTCAATTCAGAATGATTTTTTTTTTCCATTACAATAGATTCTGATTTGAAAGATTTTATATTTTACGAAAGAAATATCTTTCGGGTTCATCAATGCAGTTGTTTCTCAATATGCTCAGTGGAGAGCCATTTACAATTACTTTTTGTTATGGTTTCTTAAGTACAAGATTTTCTCCATCATTTTAAGCCTATGTCATCCAATTGTTATACCATAGACTTCCCCTATATGTTAAGACAGAACCGTCGTCCTTTAGAAGTTTTTATGGCCTATTTTACATATTTGAATTGGTTTCATTTAAACTTATTAAATTGGTTTATCATTAATCAACCTTACAGGAAAGAAAGACTATATTGTTTCTAACATGAATCAGGTCCGTGTATTTTATGCTGATAACCTTTTGGTCCTTTCTTAGCGCTGCAAACTTTGACTACTGTGTGTTTAAGGTGACCTTGGGTATATCATGTCTTTGATGCATTTTGGTTCACACAGAGACATCGACCTACTTTTCATTATGACTTCCACGTCTTCTCGAACAACACCAAACATATCGTAGCTGGACCGATCCTCTGGAATGACATTCTTCTTCATCCACGTCCCACAAGCAAATTCGTAGAAGTCGTCACATGGTTGGACTTTAGTGTTTAAAGAGCCGAGAAGTCGAGAGGCTGAAACAAGCGTCAAATACAAGTTATGTTTCTAAAATCCTCATTATTATATTTAACAAATCATATTCAATTTTGTCAAAATAATACTTATGACTGTTTAAAACCACAAGAATAATAAAACAAACAATTCTGAATTATGCATGTTTCTTTCAGATGAAATATATAATAAAGATTATATATATATATATATATATATATATATATATATATATATATATATATATATATATATATATATATATATATATATATATAGTATATATATATAGTAGACAATTTTCTCGGATCAACGTGTATTCCTTACACGTTGAACGGATTCTGTTGGAATATAAATTATATCTTCAGTAAATAAATATTAAGCACTGGCAACAACAACTGTTATATTGCTTTATAGTACGACCAAGAGCCATTTATAGAGACATGGAGTGGCATGTTACATGTATGAAACCGCGAGTAACCAGGGACAAAAACAGGGTACACTATAGATTGTACCTTGAGCTATTTTCGTACAAGTGGAATCTACAGAAGTATAAATTATATCTTTTTTTGTAAAACTTTTTTATTTGCCAGTGAGATACTTAATAGTTTGTTTCATATTTTTTTAAGTCTCCAATAAATCCAACTGCAACTCATGTCGACTGAACAGCAATAATTAGCTACCAAATATATACTTGCTAATTGCTGTTTTCATGTCCCCGTATCAAAGATTCGGGGGTATATAGTTTTTGCCCTGTCTGTCCGTCTCTCTGTCTGTTTGTCCGCAAAAACTTTAACATTGCTCATAACTTTTGATTGGTTGAAGCTATGGCTTTCATATTTCACATGTGTATTCCTTGTGACCTTTCTTTGGGAACCATCATATTTGACCTTTTGACCTTGACCTTGGAGTTTGACCTAGTTTTACAAAATTTTACCCAACTCTAACCTTGGCCATAACTTTTGAAAAGTTGGTGCTAGGGCTTTCATACCTCAAATGTCCTTGTGACAAGACCTTCCTTTGGATACCAACAACTTTGACCTTGACCTACAAGTTTGACCTACTTTAACATTAGACATATCTTTTGAACGGTTGGTGCTACGGCTTTCATTCTTCACATATGTAATCCTTGTGACAAGACCTTCCTTTGGATACAAACAACTTTGACCCTTTGACCTTGGAGTTTGACCCACTTTTGGAAAACTTTAACCTTGGCCTTAACTTTTGAAAAGTTGGTACTAGGGCTTTCATTTTTCATATGTAAATCCTTGTGACAAGCCCTTCCTTTAGGTACCAACAATTATAGCCCATTGACCTGACCTTGACCTTGGAGTTTGACCTACTTTTGGAAAACTTTAACCTTGGCCATTTCTTTTGAACATTTGGTTCTAGGGCTTTCATACTTCACATATGCAATCCTTCTGACAAGACCTTACTTTGGATACCAACAACTTTGACCCTTTGACGTGACTTTGGAGTTTAACCTACTTTTGAAAAACTTAAACCTTGGCCATATCTTTTAAACGGTTGGTGCTAGGGCTTTCATATTTCACATGTGTATTTCTTGTAAGAAGGCCTTTCCTTGGGCACCTTTAATTTTGACCATTTGACCTTGATGTTTGACTTACTTTTGAAAAAAAATTAACCTTTTCTATATCTTCTCAAAGGTTGCTGCTAGGGCTTTCATATTTCATAGGTATATTCCTCGATACAAGACCTTACTCTGGGTACCAGCATATTCGATTTGCATTTGAGAAAGTTTAACCTTCGCTATAAGTTGCGTTAACGCTAGATGGTACAATGTACAGGAAGACGAACACGAGTTATCTTTCATAAACACGAGTTACCGTGTTGCCATACTGGGGCATCAGTGTTTCACAAACACATCTTGTTTTTTAGACTGATGAGTGGAAAATGATTTACATGTAATATTAAAATTATCAAAAACTTACCGGCTATCGAACATTCGGGAGTGAGACAAATGTTATCTGAAATATAAAAGTAAATGTCATAAAATAATTGATGACGTAATAACTGCCATTTTTACCTGATTGATTTGTTAATTGTTTAATGTTATTGTTATAAGAACACAGATTTATTTAGCAGTAAATTATTTATATAACATCAGAACATTTTGCAACCGATGCTGATAAAAAAGAATATCCAGCAGGCACTATGTAGTTAACACGTGTACTAAGTTTATTTGCTCAGTTGGGCTTCAGTTATAGGGCACAAAACTCGTCATTCAACACGAATAAATGGACATGTAGCATTAAAAATATATATATTAACTCAAAGCACTTGGTCTTACATCTAATTTGTTTAATTAATTTTTATCCAATTCAAATTGTCTTCAAGAGACTGGTAGTAATGATAGGACAAAATTATAAATATGTCTATACAGTAAGCAATAAAGTAAAAAAGTTATTCTTACAATTTGTGTCATTGATTCTAGTACCATTATGAGGCGTAAAAAATTAGGAATGCAGGAGTGAAAAATGAAAATGACCAAAGTCAATTTAGAAAAAGGGATTATAAAATAAAATCCTTCGGTGTCCAAGACATTCTTATCGACATTCAGTTTTAAAGTGCAAGTGTTTATATACTTATATAATTATATACTTACACAATTGTACTTGAATTTTGTTTTCATAACTCATATATCTCGTATTAGATTATTCATAATACACCGAGTGTAGAATATGAGGCATTTTTAAAACAATTTGAACATTTCAAGGCTTTAGAAATCAAAATAAGAACGCCAATTCGACACTTAGGTATATCGACAACGTTTATTCAATTAAATGTTCATTTTCATTCTTACGTTTATTCGATATATCCCTTTGAAATCGAAATAAAAGACACCACAGAATCTCACACATCTGTTTCATATCTGGATGTTTTTACTAGAGACAGACATTAATGGCAAACTAACAACAAAACTTTATGATAAACGTGATTACTTCAACTTTTCTATTATTTATGTAGCCATGTACCATTATCACCTGCTTATGAAGTTTATGACTCCAAGTTGATTCGATACACAAGAATATGTCCTACGTACAAACAGTTTCTAAACGAGGCAAGTTATTGACAAAAAAGTTGATGATACAAAGATGCCAGTCTCAGAATAATAGTCTCGTTTAAAGTCAACATTTCGCAAATTCTATAGTTGATACAATGACCTTATTGGCAAATACAATCTATCGCTAAAGCTGAACACTACTCGTAAAAGGCATTGTCCGCCATATTTCTCTTCCATCGGCGCTATCCCAACAACCCCTATATAAGCCATAGACCTCTTAACCGTTCAACGTATTTCGCTGTAGAGATCTCATCTGAGAAGGCCGGTACACACGGTAAGGCTTGCCTTATAAGTCTAAACCTTACGTTTAGCAGGACGTACGGCTCTCGCGTCCAAACTCTAAGGCAAGACTTACAAGATTATAAACAACATTTCCATAAATCCACGTCTTTTTTAGCCGTAAACAGTGCGCATCATTAAAACAGAAGCATATATTACTAGCTAGGACTTTGGAATAATTGTACCGACCAGTGCATTCACACTTCTTAAAAGAGAGTTGGTTGTACAAAAGCATTTGCGGATATTTTCTTTATCTTATTCGAATATACTTTATGTGTTTCCTTCAATCTACCCACGTGTTTGATAAAAATAGATTGAACAGTAGGTTATTGAATTTTATTGGTTGAGAGGAACATGACAGCTAAGTCTTGTATTAAGAAATAGAGCAGTGCTCTATTCGAAAGTCAGACCTGTAAGGCTCGAAAAACCGTGTATTAAAGGTGTACACACGGTAAGGCAAGAACTTAAGTTCCATGACTTATAAGGCAAGCCTTACCGTGTGTACCGGCCCTTACGAATAGAGCACTGCTCTATTTCTTAATACAAGACTTAGTCTTCTCAACCAATGAAAACGATTCGCCCAAGTGTCAGTCTATTTTTTATCAAACCATACACGTGGGTAGATTGAAGTGAACACAAAGTATTTTCGAATAAGATATAAATAAATATATACACAAATGCTTCTGTTCGACCTCCTCCTCTTTTTAAAAAGTATGAATGCACTTGTCGGTAAAATTGTTACAAAGCCCTAGTAATTTTTTCCTCTATTTTAATGACCGAATGCACTGTTTATGGCTGAAAAACTCGAGGAATTTATGGAAATGTTTATAATCCTGTAAGTTTTGCCTTAGCATGTGGACATGAAAGCCGTACGGCCTGCAGAACTTAAGGTTTTAGACTTATAAGGCAAGCTTTACCGTGTGTACCGGCCCTTACATTGCCGTGTTATTCGGTCGCGATGAAATTATCAAATTTTACGCACTTTTTCCGAGCCAGGGGAAAAAGTAATATCAAATATACAAATCAGTGCATTATTTACAAACAGAAAATGCATAAAAAAAAAAGGAATAAATGCAAAAAATCTAAGACCCCGAAAGGAATACTACACGTCGGCCACGAGTGTCAAGTGTGCAATCGGATGTAACGAAATCGAAGGGTTTACACATATATACCTGTGTGACGGTGCCTATTTATGAGTATTGTTCAGCTTTTAGTCGAATGTTGACTGATCAATGCTGTTTTTCATACAAATTGTTAGCCTATTATTTTCGCACTGAATTGTCTACGTTTTCTTTTTTTCGTTTGCCCGATCACGCCAAGAAGCACACGGCGGGTGTGACCGGTCGACAGGTGATGTGTACTCCTCCATGGCACCTGATCCCACCTCTGATGTTTTTTAGAGGTCCGTATTTGCTCTGCTCAAAATTTGTACTGTTTCAATGGACTTTTGAGCTTGATAACTGTTCGTTATCTTTATATTTCATCTAGAAAATTTTATAGATTTTATCTTTCAACACCAGTGATTAAGCATTTCATATGAATAATTTTACAGCAAAGCAATTCAGACTCATTCAAACATTTTGACCAAACTTACGACAAAACTAAGAATTCAAAGAACTGCTATCAAGTATAATTCTATTTTAAAAAAAAAAAAAAACTTAAAAAAAAAAAACTTTATCCAAATTATGCATTAACACATATATATCATGTAGCGAATGTGAACTCTGAGAGGTAAGTAACAACTAAATAATAACAGTGCATTTAATTTTGAGTTGGGCAGTCATAAGATGAAATAATTTATGTATTTTTGATACATGTACTTTTTGGTCTTTAATTTGCAAGGACATTCATTTGTCTAGTTTCTTTGTTCAATTGATCACACAATTCTATTTTCATCTTACACGATTTTAAATACTTTGCATTAAGCTCTTATATCTTTTGCATTTCGTTGTTTTGTGTCGAAGAAGAAGGGTGTGAAGATTTTATTCCATATGTATATTACAAACACACTCCTTAACTTGGACAAGTAGAATAATTTTACTGATATAAACGTGGAAACAAGTTGGTCAGTGGGGGCAGTGAGATATTGTCATTAGTTCAAAGTAAAACCGTCTGTTTACGACAGGGTATTATCTCAGAAAGCACAGAACAGATTTTCACACCTGTGAATTATGCTGTTTCTATGAGCTACAACGATTTCAAAATGCTTTCTATAAGGTAGTACATGTATTATAGAACTTTCTTGTTATTTACTCAAGATAAGAGATGATAAAATCAGAATCATTATAAACAGTTTTTGCCCCTTTTATAAATAGATGCAAACATATATTCCCATATATCCAAGATAAAGAAAACAAATAAAAAAAATGATTTTATATATATATATATATATATATATATATATATATATATATATATATATATATATATATATATATATATATATATATATATATATAACGTTGAAATCGTTTGATGCTGTTATGGGAAGATTTGAAAGAGACATCTCAGATCTGCTACTACTACCAGGACTCGATGCTTATCTCACTGAGAAAGGGACAACTCAGAGGACCCTGCTTCTGCTCAACAAGATAAAAATATGACCATGACCTTTGCATATGGCCGTAGGAACCCCGGGGGGGGGGCGTGCCCCCAAATAAATTTGCCGATATATAGAGTACTATAGAAAACATAACTACTATATGCTTGTGCCCCCCCCCCCCTCAAATAAAGACGTCTGATGACCTTTTTTTGTTTGCTTGTCAAGGAATTTTTGGTTGTTGATAGTGCTCCCCAACTGAAAATGTATGGCTGTGCGCCCCCCCCCCCCAACTGAAATTGCTTCCTACGGACCTGCTTTGAACTGCAGTGATTGATCAAGATCACTGCTGGCCTTTTAAAACATTAAAATTAAATTTAGCCAAATGATGCATTATCAGACACGCATATAAATTGGGTACATTAGTGTAAAGTGAATATAATTGTGAGACTGTGACAAGATGAAGGGAAAAAAATCACATACGGAATTGAGACAATTTGTTGACCCTCAGCTTTTAAATACTGTCCTTTGGTCAGTCTAATACTGTATAACTTAAGTCTGACTGCGATTGAGCAACTGGGAAAGAAATCTTTGTATGGGCATCTGCACAAAGATCTGCTTTGTGTATACCGTGACATTAGAAAAGGAAACTTTATTAATATATTTTTAAGGTATGTCTCCTGAGAGAGAGAGAGAGGGGGGTGAAAATAATGCTACAGTTAGCAAACTGATAGAAATAAATTGTTCTGAAAATAATGAAATGTCAATGGACTCGAACATATCAATGTTAAACGCCTATCACTAAAGCAATGTGCTTTTAAGAAATTCTGGTCATGTAGTTTGAGTTACCCTACCTGAAGTGCTAGCACCAGTTCCGCCTGCAGAGTTTATAGTTTCGTCTTTACTGTTGTTAATGTACAGTACAATAAACACAACACAAACAACCAAGACCGCAACACTAAATAATATAAGAAACTTCTCTAGGTTTGTTTGTATGCCTTTCTTCTTGAAACTGCAAAACAAAATTGAGGTTAAAAAAAGAAAATGAGTATTATATCATGCCTCGTATATATAGTATCAATTCTACTACTGAAAACAAGAAATAGGACATTTTAAAAAAAAATTACATGCACTGGTAAAAAAAGCTCTAAAACGTAGATACGGAATTCCTATGTATCTTTCGCGTAAAATTTAATAAAAGAAGGCAGTTTAAGTGCGTCAGAGGCTCTTGTTCCTCATTCATCTCTGGCTCAATTTATAAATAAGATAAACATCAATATGTTAATTGGCAATCTAATTGGCCATTATACGTCTTCAGTATGTACACGTGTTTGAGATGAATCTGATGGTCAGTTTACATGTACTTTGGAAAATTAATACATTTACCATGCATATGCATGTACATATATATCTATATAAATAAAATCATTTTACATATTAAATTCAAGTCACATCTTGAAGACATTACTGGTAATGTCAAAGACGGTACATAAATTAATAAAACACTAAAAGGGTCGAATTTTTATGAGGACTGACTTACACAAGAACAACACATTTATAGAAATATTATTCATAAAAGTACAAATTCTCGCTTCAGTGCATAATAGCTTTTTTTTACTTCTGGATGATTTGTTTATAAGTAATTTAAAAAACGCATTCCGCTAAATGCGCATTTTTCATGTCTTATTCAACTTAAACAAAAATTATATTGCTGACATAGTTTCTACATTTTCTGTAAATTATTTTTGAGGTTTTAATATTTTTAAGATTCATTTTATAGCAAAAACTGTGTTTATGAGACCTTGACAAAATCAAGCCTAGTAATAAATACTGTTTAAAGACGCTTACCTTAATTGTGCATCTTGTACGTCTAATTTCGTATCACCGTTGGATTGTTTTCCATTTTGCATTATGCCGTTTTAATTTTTTCCGCTCTCTTTTGATTTTCAAAGCAATTACTGCTCTCTCAGATCTTTGGGGGTAACAAAGATACCCCCTGGGCTCTTCTTGTAGATTCTAGCAACGCTATCACCTGACGGTCAGTAAACGAGATATCTTAATTCTACTGATACCTTGTTGCGCCCTCTCTTAAAATCGGCGACATACAAATTGGTACAAGTAGAGCTGTAAAACGGGTAGGTTGTCTGTTGATATATCTACATGTATGTAATACGGATCTGTCACACAGACACGCGTTTACTGAGGTAGCTCGTGAACCGATGTGCAATGAGCGTAAACTCTTTGTAAAGAATAATTGTTTTAAAATATTTTATAAATGTTTGTCGATGTTTTTGTTTACACGAATCCATTTCTAGGACTGAGTTTCAGTTAACATACAGATATTCATTTCAATAATCCTTAGCATGTTATTGTGTTTCACTTCAACGAATCCAGATGAAAGTCAGCATATGTAAAAAAAAATGTGTTCATAATTGTCAGAAAATTCTTGTTATCAGTTCTTTTTCATTTTCTTCTTAATATTATGTATAAAACTTCTGTGCATGATTCCAATTTAAAAAAGAAATAGTACATTCTTCTTAAACATTAATACAGAAATATAGAAATAAGCAGGAATCACTAGACAAGATGTACATATAGCAAATGTAAGAGTTCCATTACCCCCCCCCCCCTTTTTTTTTTTGCATTCCTTTGGCTAGTGAATACATATATAAAATGTGCGCTACATATATACAATGTAACATTAGAAGACGCAATATACAACCGAATAGAATGCGTCGAAATGGCAATTATATTTGCTGCTCTGTCTTTCATTTAGGCGTAGTTTGCGCAAGGAATATTTAAAGGGCTAGGTTCACTTTATGTATAAAATGGCCCTGTAGATATACCAATTTATTGACTAATACCCCGTGTACCATTTTCAACATTAATATAAAGAAGAGACTTAGTGCTTCCAATTTATATAACAGAATTTCCTTTGAAGAGTCCAGGCATTGAAAAACAGGTTGTGTGAAATTGCAATGTTATTGACTTTTGCAGAAAAAGGATGTTTTTGAGAACCTTCGGCAAAGAATTAAAATATGAGCACACCCCTCGATCCAAAAATTAGAATATGTTTTATAATCTTCATTAACAGTTCTTTTATAATATATTTACACATTTTGGATCGGAGTTTGTGCTGTATACGAAATATTGAAAAATTGCATCATATTTTGACCATTTTTGAAGAAATATTCAGGATATGTGAATAATGACGCAATTCATGACGTCATAATGCATTGACTAGAAAGAAAATTACGTCATTTTCAGTAGATATTCATTCACCAAGTGCTCATGTAATATTTATTGCCTTGTTGATTTTAAAAAAACTATACAGGTTTGAATTTTTAGAAATTCACAGGGCCAAAAAAGGCCTTAAGTGGCTCTTGCTCTTTGTTCCTACTTCCATTTTCATTTTATATAATGGCATATTGAGAAAAAGATATTGTCACTGTTAAAGTTTGTTCAATTTCTTTCAGGTAATTTCGAGTAATCTAAAGGAACGCACACGGAAAACCGCAGTCGAATCTGTACCACAATCTAAAACATGGATTGACCGAAGTCTGCTAAAAGAAGGAACACCATCAACCTAGAACCACTGAATGGAAGGAGCCATAAACTATTCAAGTTTTATCTATTTATGAAATAGTTATTTGTCACTTATATTAATTTTTGTTTTGAATTTAATATGTAGCAATAACACAAATTAGTAGACTAAATAAACAAGAGGCCGACGGACCCTGATGGTCACCCTACAGAGTAACTCGAGTTTCTCAGGCCATGAACTATGTACCCGTGTAAAATGGATTTTCCGATTTGGTGGGGACTTTGTGTTTATTATCATATTCATCAAGCTCGTCTCCTAGGTGCTAAGGGGCAAAAATATTTAAATACATTAAGTATATTTTTAATATTAGATTCACATCCCCAGCCGGGAGTCTGGGACATAATTTTCCTAACCTAGTAAAAGGCCTTTAGTTCACTATATGGCTCGACTGAGCAAGGAAATCAGGAGTAAGATTTTTAAAGGATAAACTGTACGGTTATTTTTCACTATATGACCAATTTAACCCCAGTCTGGGGACAGGATCTCAAAACGTTGGTAAAGAATAGCTCTTCTTTAACATCATGCATCCATTTCCCTTCTGGATTCCAAGAGTATGGAAGATCTCGAGGCTCAATGAATTTTGATGGTTTTATCCCCCTTAAAGAGTCAGGGATAGGAGAACTGGATTCCGAAAGAGCACAATTCTTGTTTCCCTTCATCTATGGACTACCAGTACTAAATTTGGTTGAAACTGGTTCAACCAATGCAGAAAGAAGGTGAAAATATTCAAGGTTACGCATAATGCTCAACAACGGACTGAATGATTCAGGTCATCTAAAAATCATACAAACGTTAACCTTTGAATGCTTTCACACTGGATCTTATTTTCCGAAAACTGACTTTTGCAATATTTTCTTTATCCACTTTTCCTATAACAAATGTCCCTATGACAAAAGGAAGACGATTTGTTAGCCTAAATTCCCGTTCTTCTTGTTAGCTTTTCGTGTCGTGTACGGTTTAGCCCTTTTGCCATTGGCTTACACCATTTGACCGTGGATGTATGATTGTTTTTAATTGCTGTGAGCAATCTTGACCCACATAACTAATGTTATTCTCCCCCTTTCTGGTAAGGGGGTGGGAGTGCAGGAAAGCCTTTCTTGTTTAGCTCATCCACATAACTCAGCTGACTTAAAGCTATATTTGCTTTTGTCCGTCGAAGTGAGTTTTGCTTCTTCGTCGGTCATAATCTTTTAAAAATTTTAAACTTCTGTGGAAAGGCTGTGGAAAGGCTGAACCAGTTTCAAACAATTTTGTAATAGCATGCTATGAATAGGGTAAAACAAAAATTTTGAATTTCAAGGTCTCTGCCTCCATGTGGCCTGAGGGTAGCGGCCAAAACCATAAAATAATACATTCTCCAAAAATCTATTTTACTCTTTGGCATTTGGAAGGAAAACTGTTGGCATGATTACGAAGCTTGACCCAAAAAGTCGTAGACAGGTTTAACAATTTCGTTTCTCTTTGGTAACATAACTTTGTTTTCTTGTTATAGTAAAAGGCAGCGCCTAATCATCATGAATTATGATAAAACTTCTCTTATTTACTACAGCAGACTTTTCGAATCACAACTTAGACATAGCCATGTTATGATCAATAAAAGTTTCAGCCAATGAATTTGCAGTGCAAGTGCATATTTTCAAGAAACTTTGTATATCTCATATTGTAGAACCTCATAATATGTACTTATATTTTATATTTCATAGAGAGAAAGACAGGCCATCTTTAAAAAAAATGTTTGTTTGCCTCTCCCGACCGACTGACTAAAATGGCCCGACTCAAAACTTTTTTTACATTCCGGGGCACGATATCTTTTTTTCTTTTTATTCCTCTTATCCTGTTAAAAAATATGTCGAAATTTTCTGGTTAAAAGATTTTCCCATCTACCTACCGACCCAATAATTTTACCCTGAGTCGGGAGAGGGCAAACAGACATTATTTTAAAGATGGCCTTATTAAGATTTTTGTCCTAGCCAATTAAAACGAAACATTTTAGTCATATTTTGAAAATATATTACAACTTTGAAAAAATCTTCTTAATCATGGAAATCTAGCAGGCAGTCTGTTTGCATGATTACAAGTAGTAATTATCCTTTGATCAAAATTGAAACATTTATTCTCCTTAGTCCAAACCCAAGAAGGGGGATAAGATGGTCATATTTTGAAAATAAGTTTCATATGAAAATCTTAACTCATGGAAATCTAGCACACAAACTCTTTGCATGAAAATACATCTGTAACTAATACTTAGCTCCCTTGTAAAATTCATGAACTCGATCCTAGAGCTATGGCTCAGACCCACGGGTTGGGAAAGTTGATCAAATATTAAAGGTCCATTATATCTTTGAATTTAATCTTTTTTTAATTACTGACATCTAGCAGGCAATTTGTTTCTTTGATAGAGCAGCTCTCTAAAAAAATTATGTATTCATGTCTCATGGGACAAAGCCCAAAGTTGGGGCTAAGTTGCTCATATATTCATCGACTATTGCTTCCAAACCTTTTATATTACCCCCCCCCCCCAAAAAAAAAAAAAAGATTCCCCCTTGACACCTGATCCAATCTCTGCTCCTTTAGAGGTGTTTGCTTTGCTCTAAATTTGTATTATTCCAATGGACTTTTTTTTAGTTTGATTATTGTTCTGTTATCTTCATATTTCATGTTTTATACGGTAAACATAGATTCCTAGACAGGTGAACTGAACCTTGTCTCCTTCACAGCCGAAATTCTAAAAGACAAACTGCACGGACACGGTAATAATTATCGGGTCCCCTCCAAACTGTACATTTTTATGACGTGAAACTACAGTTCCAGTCTGGTGTTAAAGTGGTCATAGCCTGAGAAACCCATGCTACTAAGGTGAACGTCAAGGCCCATGGGCCTGTGTTTTCTTATTTGTATCCTTTATTAACCAGTGTTATAATGTGATGTTTGGCATTTGGATATATCAACATAAAATGATGAGTCATGATGCATACAAAAATTTGACCTCAAAGCCAATTAATTTCATTTTGTAATTGTGGTTTCCTTTTTTGTTTTTTTTTTCCAAAGCTACTTTATACTGCGTTGGATTCAGATTCACTTCAGTAGGTTATGATGTGTTTGTTCATGGCCTAAATATAACCTTACATTAAACATTAATCTTCCTTAATTGGTACATCCATTTGTGTACAATTAATAATCAAGCAAAATTCGACAACAAATATGAAAAATTCAGAGTGACAAATTGGTCCGATAGATCGGGTGGAAAATTCCGATTATTAAATTTGTGATAATTTACTATTATTTTTTTTTTTAATTTTCCCCGACACACTGAAAAGAAAAAAGTACAAGAAAAATATCAGAACGTTTTCAATACATACGAGCAGTAAAAATAGCATTCCACAAAAATTAGGTAACAAAATTTCTTGTTATCTGGACCATTTTACTAAGGCAAAAAGTAGGTTAAATTTTTTTATATGTGCTATTTTGTTTTACGTTTTGTGATGCGTTTACGAGCCTTTATGCAAATCAAGCATTCGATGT